CGACGCCGCCGACATCATCGCCGGGTTTGACGCGCTTGCTATCCACGACGGCGTCGACGTGATATCGGTATCGCTCGGAGGAACACCAATGATATCTCGAGGACCATTGCGCTGGGGTCGTTCCAACGCGGTGGCGGAGGGGATATCGGTGGCGGGCGTCAGCCGGGAACCTCGTACTTCCCAGTAGAGAACCTAACGCCCCCTCAGAAGAAAACACACCGCAGGGCCGTACGAGGGGACGGTGACCGTGGATCATGACGGTCGGAGCGAGTACCTTGGACAGGAAGTTTCCGACTTACCTGACTCTGGGGGGTAGGAGGAGGATCGAGGTTAGTCATGTTCTAGTTCGTAAGGGTATTTTGGTCACTTTTCACCTGGCTTTGGCGCCAGTTTCCTTGATTCAAATTACAGTTGGCAGCTACTGTACGTATCCGAATGATTTAAGGAAGCGTATCCCATTCTTTAGTATTCCACGATAGTGCCTGTGAAACTTATCGCATGTTCAGCATGAACTCATCATTTTAGGCAAAAAGGCATATATATACGTGTTAGGGTATATTTGTCATTTCAAGTGGCCATGTTCCTCGGTTCAACTTAGGTATTGACAGATTAATCAATCATCTGAATTCTTTCAGGATCGCTCCTCCGAAACTCTAATAGATTTCAAATCTGCACTTACTAAGTCCTTCTTTAATCCTCGCTAAATGTATTGACTTCAGGGACAAAGCCTCTCATCGGCGAAACTACCCACCAACAAATTCTATCCGTTGGTTAAGGCTGAAGATGTCAAGGCATCCCATGTACTGCCTGATGAAGCGTAAGCATCTCATTAATTATCCAAGTGTAAAAACTCGTGCGTCGACAACGGTGAGGTTTACCGTTATATTTTCCATATTTCGCAGCGAGGTGTGCTACTCCGACTCCTTGGACCCGAAGAAGGCGAAGGGTAAAATCGTCATTTGCAGCGGAGGGAATAGCGAGAACATAGAGAAGGGAGAGGAAGTGATAAGAGCCGGCGGTGTGGGGCTGATCGTTGTGAACAATGAGTGGAGTGGAAATGCAGTGACAGCTACTCTTTATCGTCTCCCTGCGATAAACATTGGTTGGACGTATGGCTCTGCTATTTACTCTTACATGAACACTACAAAGTAAGCTCTTGCCGTACGGAGTAAACTCCTTGTATCTATGTTGTTAATTTCTCTCTGAAAATTTGAGGCAAATTATTGCTAGGCTCCGTTTAGCAACCCAATATAAAACCAGGCCGACCTGGGTTTTTCCTTTAATCGGGTCATGACCGGTTCACGCTAGGGGATGGGCCAGTACTGGCCTAGTTTTACAACAACAACAACAAAAGCTAAAAAAGAGACCAGAGTTAGGCCCAACATTTCCGAACACAAACTGCTCCAAAACTAGGCTAGATTTGAACCTGACCCAGTTTTAACAGGTTAGGGGACAATGACCTTAGAATTTATTTCAGTGTATCCTGTTTTTAAAGAAATCATGTTGTTTAGTGAGTCTAATTAAAAACTTTGTCTAGCTTTGTAACTAAGTTTTGTTCTTTAGACGTCCGGAAAATGTCCGAATAGTAAAAGAAAACGGATCCATAACTTTTATGCAAGAACTATTTCCCCCTCTGTTTTCTCTCTGGCCAACTCTCACAAACTCCTGATTTCCTGTGTTTCTTTTTGGATTCAAACAGTAATTCTTCTCCTTAAAAAACCTTTAGGAGTAATTTCATAAAAACCACCCTTAATAACCTTAATTATTTTAATTCCACAAAAAAAATACCCCTAAACTTTGAGGGGTTTGCACTCAACCCCCTGAACTTCTATATTCTTCTAAACCCTATGAAGATTTTTCACTTTCGCCTCTAAATTAATACGGTCCAGTCTAACGTATCACGTGCCAAGCACCTGACCTAAAAAGGTTCAAATACTCTTCTACCGCCGAGAAATTAATGGAAATGACAAAAAGGATAAAAGGATGGATTTAATTAGAAGCCTCTCTTTTGCAGATCACCTACTGCTTGCATTTCAGCTCCGACAACAAGACTAGGAGTGAAACCTGCACCAGCCATGACAGATTTCTCATCTCGGGGGCCAAACACCATCACCCCACAAATCCTCAAGGTCTGATACTCATAACAACACCCACCATCGTCACGCGCATCAAATTATTATTTCAAAGATTTTTGTGAAACGCTTTCCTCCTCTTTTCTCCCTTCGCTGCAGCCTGATGTAACTGCACCAGGATACATGATTCTTGCCGCATACAGTGGAGCTGCAAGTGCTACAGGTCGGGGCAACGACACACGACGCGTACTGTTCAATATGCTCTCTGGCACGTCAATGTCTTGCCCTCATGTTGCTGGACTCACTGGGCTTTTGAAGACTCTGTACCCAGGATGGAGCCCTGCGGCAATTAGATCAGCTATTATGACTACAGGTAAACTCATTTTGCAACAAGCTGCAAAAGTTTTACAGGCTAATTGCACGTAGCTAGACCCCCCGCCCTGCAGTTTCTCTTGTTCTGCACTTGCTGCCCCTGATTCCATCGTTGCAGATAGACCCCCAGGGTTAAGTTTTGAGTTTTTTTTTTACCCCTGTTGAATTTTCTCAAATATTATCCGAATAGAAGAGTCAAAAAAAATTAACCCTGGGTCCATATGCAACAACAAAACTACAGGGGTTAATAACTTTAAAACAATGATGCTACATGGGGTCTATGGTGCAACTAACACAAATAATTATATTTAAGCTTTTTCGCTCGTATAACTAATTAAAGATTCTCGTGCTCTAAAATTACCCTCCAAATCTTCATATTTGACAATTTCCCTCAGTTAATTTTTCGTGGTAGTTTGACATACGATTTTGTTCTTTATAGGACCAACTATCTTAAATTTTTGGATAAAATGGTTTTCTTATATATGCTTTGTTTTCCATCTTATACTTAGTTTTCGATCTTTTTTTACAGCGAGAACACGGGCCAACAACGGTACGACGATACCAGACTATGACAACAAAAAGGCCACACCTTTCGCTTACGGATCCGGGCACATAAGACCCAACCGGGCAATGGATCCGGGTCTAGTCTTCGACTTGTCCACGACCAACTACCTGGACTTCCTTTGTGCTTTAGGCTACAATGCATCATCGATGGCAGCATTCTACAAGAAGCCATACGGGTGCCCCTCGAAGCCCATGAACTTGGAAGACCTAAACTACCCTTCGATCGCGGTCCCTAACCTAAACGGGTCCCTAACCGTGACCCGAACAGTCAAGAATGTTGGATCCCCAAGCACCTATCGGGTACGGATTGTGGCTCCAATAGACATATCGAACAGTCAAGAATGTTGGATCCCCAAGCACCTATCGGGTACGGATTGTGGCTCCAATAGACATATCGGTATCCGTTAGGCCGAGCGTGCTTAAATTCAGTAAGATTGGTGAGGAGAAGATGTTTGAGGTTAGTTTCAAGTCTATGAAAGGGAGTGTTGGGCCTGGATATGGATTCGGGATGATAATTTGGTCAGATGGAAAGCATTACGTGAGGATTCCTTTGGCTGTTAACGCACTCTCATGATGCGTTAGGGTTCGTAGAACTTCAGGGTATCTTCCTCCGTAGGAGTTTAGATCTTTTAGACTCAAATGTTTTTAGAGAAGTAGTTCTTTTAGTTTGTTCAGATACTATTTAGACTCATTCATTCTGTTGAATATGGAACCTCTTGTAAACTGAACTAGACCTTGATGGGAGAATTTGAGCTGTTTGACGTGGGATTTTTCTACTGGACATTAATTAAGATCACCATATAAATTTGTTCCAAGCCTTTGGAAGAGCAGAAAGCCTACTAAATTGATCAGGTTGCTAGGTAGGATATCTGATGTCAAGTTTCAGTATGCTATGGTAAACGACATAAATGTTGAAACAAATTAATTGGAATGAAACAAGAGAGAGCTTATTATGTAAGACTTCGCATTTATGGAAAAAGTTCGACAGAAACCTGCAAGGATTGATTCTGAAATTCACAAAGAAAGCATGTTGCGGCTTCAACATGATCGCGCATAAAAACCTGCAAGGATTGATTCTGAAATTCACAAAGAAAGCATGTTGCGGCTTCAACATGATCGCGCATAAGTTCTTTTTGAAGACCTTGTTTTTCTCCACATTTAAGCAAGAAGTTTTACAGCGTACTTTCTCATTCAAATTACTATCTGCAAGCAACGAAACTAAGCAGAAGCAATCATGCCAATAAGGAACGACATGAAATTCATGGTTCTAATTATCTATTGCCTCGAGCAAAGTCATCGCAGACAATTTTGAAAAAGATTCTTTAGTTGTTGAAGACAACTCATTCATGCATATGGGTGCATTCCGTCCGGATACAGCTCGGATATGATGCTTATCACATCCATATCCGCTTACTCATTTCGGATACGAATATAAATACGAATATGCATTAATAAGGAAAATTCATATTCATATCCGCTAAAATCGGATATGAATATACATGCAAATGCAGATATATGAACGTATACGCATACAGATATAAAACAGATAAAAGAAAACTAAATACTGTTGAAAAAAATATAATTCATGTGATACAAAAGAATTCATTAATATGTTCATTGAAAAGCTAAGATTAGATATCTTGATCGTGAAAATTAACCTCATATCTATAATCTAAAGACTTAAATTATTGTAACAATATGACTAATATGTATTCACATATTTCGGATATAGTTCCACATATTTCGGATACATATTTCGGATACGGTTCCGGATATGACTACTATGTATTCGACTAATATGTATTCGGACATTTACCAATTCGCAAACTTAAAATTTTCAACTTTTTGTAACCAGCAACATTCCACAATGCTTGCATAATAATAAACAAGACTTTACCTTCTTCCCTTTTCTTTTACTATTGAAAGAAGATCAGGGACGTTCAGAAGCCACATCCAAAAGCTCTCAAATATTCTAATCGAACTTCCAAACCAGAGAAGAAATATTGACCTTTATTCATAAAGTTGCAATTTGTAATCTGCCTTTAATTTTAAAAGGTATTAGATTTGGATTAAACAACCAATATTCTATTGTTGAGAAAGAGTTTGAAAAGCAAATTAAATAAAAGTGAAAAGGGGCGCCCTTTGCTCATGTTTGAGATTAAGGTAAACCCAATGACATTGTAATTTTATACGAGAGAAAATATTATCAGCCTCCAAATAAATAACCAGCTGCTTGTTCTTCATTGCCATTGAACAGCCTAAGAGCCTGCATTGCGGCTTGTCTATCAAATCCAAGCTCCACCAGCTTGGAGATTTTGGCCTCAAAATCAACTCCCTGCAAATATATCAACCATTGAGTAAGCTTTCCTAACGAAAAGAACCTTTTATTCATAAACGTTAAGGACGTCTATAAACCCGAAAGCAAAAAAAAAAAAAACAAGGTCAGTTGTTTTATTGACCTGTGTATTAGTAATTTGTGTAGCACCTGCAAGAAAGGAGAAGAAATAAGAGAAAAATAAAACAAAAATAAGAAATGTGTTATTGGATAAGAAATATTCAAGAATCTAGCAACTTCTGGGATTTATGAGGGATTTATAGATGAATGAAACTAACCAGAACTTTGTGCCTGAGCAGGCACGTTAGCAGTCTTGTCACCTGAGCCAGATGTTCCCTAAATAATAAGGTGATGTTGGGATAATTTAGGTTAAAAGCTTATTTAAATTTCACAATTAAGATACCGATATAAGCGGGCCACTGCCTTGAAGAAGTGTTAATTGCAGATAGACCCCCTCTAGTTTCTATTGCAACAGATAGACCCGTGAGTGAAATTTTTTGACTCTTTTACCCTCAGAGAAAGCAAAAAATTGTTTTCTAACAAATAGACCTTGTGAGGGTAAGTAGTCAAGAAAAATTCACTCGGGTCTATCTGCAATTGGGCGACAGTACACTGGTCAATCTGCAATTAATCATATGAAAATAGTATATCCATGTTGTATGAGCCAGCAAAAATGAAATTATGTCATGGATATTCTTTTGCTAGATATTTTAATCATTTAAACGAGAAAATAGATGGAAAAAATACTACTCACATTGTATATCCAAGTTATATAAATTCAAATAGGTACTAAAACAAGCCTAATACTTCATTAACCACATAAAAGTACAGAAATGAATCTACAAATGAAATGGAATGGGTATTCATTGTCAACGCATTAGAATTTTAACCTAAATCTCAAATACATCTAACTAAGATATTTTAGAGATAAAGATTAAGTTTTATGATAAATCATCTGAGTATCCTCTGAGAATCCATCAACCATCTGAGTGTCAAAATATTAGATACGGGTGTATTTCCCGAGCATATTTAGAAAATAGGTTGCACAGGATATGTGACAGTGGGACAAAAGTTACAGGTTTACTTCTTAGGGAAGAAAAGATTATCGGCCTTCCATTGTGATGTGCATTATCAAACGTCAACAGCCACGTCAGGATGGGATATCTTTTGAAAGGTTTACACATGCCCTGAACTACTAGAAAATGAATCCAATTTGAAGCAAGGGGTTCCATAAGAAAGAAGAACAGAGG